GCCGGAGGCCACTGCGCTAGTAGTCCGGCTTCGGCCGTGCCCTCCTCGCGGTCGAGCACGCGGCCCGAGGTCTGGCCGCCGGCCTCGCGTTTCTGTTTGTCGTCGTTCAATTTCCGCCCGGCAGGTGCGCCGGTCCGGTTCCCGTTCGCGTGCGCGTGGGGTGCAGCGAGCGAGGTGAACCCGCACGGCGGAGGCGTCAGGGAACGGGGGTCGTCGTTTATTGTGAAACCGTTGGGCGGTGGATCGCGTAAGTGTACACACGTGGGCACACCCACGCACACCTTTACATAAAAGCCGCTTCTTATCGCCCTCCATCACGCGGTCGGGGGTTGGGGGGGCAGGGGGAGCGGCCGCACTTAAAGAACACAGGAGGGGGAATCACAAGAAGACTACGACGCTCAAAATACTTTCATAATCGTCACAAAAAAAATCATCAATAAAATCAGCCTGCTGTGAGCTACTGCACGCACCTAGCTGCCAGGCAAATGTTGGATTTGGTTGCCAGGAAACTGTAATTGTTGCCAGGGCAACCGTGTGAAAAGTTTTTTTTGGTTTGGCCATGTTTTTTCTGTTGTAGTACGGAGTTAGAAATGATGGCCTTTAAGTTGTCTTGTTGTTGTTGTTTTGACTTGCATCCCGCTGGGATTTTTGCACAGAGCGTGGGAGTACGGTGCTTTTCGTGGAAGATTTTTGCTGTTTTTTTTTCCCGGATTTTTCTGTTTGTGCATAGTCACTTTAAGATGTTTTCATGTTCACGTTTTATGTTTGGTTGCGGTTGCAACCCGATCAAAAAAAATGAAAAAAAAAAATCAATCGTGCGCCGCGCATGGCGCTGGTTAGAGCCCTGCGAGTCTCGATATGAGGGGTGGTGGTGGTGGTGGGTGGCGGTGGTGGTTCTGTAACCGCGAGCGTGGTTCGCTCACCGAGCGTGGTTCCATTACGACGCGAGGGCCTCTAGCACCACGGTCCAGTCGGTGTCGGCGAGCGGCTCACGTCGACGTGGTGACGTCGCCACGCGCAGCTCCATCGCCGTGGTTTTACGTTGCCGCTGGTTACGTCGCACCGCCGTGGCGGCTACGTCACGGCGAGCTGTTCCGCCTGGCTCTGTGACGGCGAGCGGTTCCGCCTGGCTCTGATGGCAAGCGGCTCCGCCCGGCTCTGTGACGGCAAGCGCTCCGTCTCCGCGGGGCGCGGTTGCTGCCACGGCCGGCTCACCGCCCCACCCACCGCTCCGCCCCCCCCCCCGCCATGCCCCCTGGCACGGCAGCTCTGCTGAGCCGGCGCCCAAGTGCTGAACCCAAATAGGCACTTAAATAAATGTTGTACTCAGCAAGTTAACAGCTACAGAGGCCAAGCTCAAATCAAACATGGTTATTATTATTTTTATATATAAAGGTTATATTTCCACAGCGCTGAAAACGGGGCAGGAGGCCTCATTGCTTGCTGCCCCAACTCCACCGCCTAAAAGTGATTATAGTCGTGATTATAGTCGTGATTATAGTCGTGATTAGTCGTGATTATAGTCGTGATTATAGTCGTGATTAGTCGTGATTAGTTGAACCATTCAAAACGCAGGCGGTGGCACACCGCAAGGTTGCACATCACCGCCTGCTGGCAACTACGTCTGTCGGTAGAGCCCCGACACTCCCCCCACCTCCCACCCCCCCCGGCTGACGTGATTGGTTGGTACAGTCCCATAAACTCATTATCCATGCGACTATACTGGCAGGGGCGGGGGTGGGGTAAGAGGAGAGACGTCATTGTCTCGGCCAACGACGGTTTCATGGGGCTGGAGTTGTGGAGTACGTGGGGGGGGGTGGGGGCACCTGGGAACCCACGGGCAGCAGCGTCACTTGGGGGAGTCGCTCCGACGTACCGACTGGAGCGTTAGCGACGGCGCTCGCTAAATCGCTCAGCCCGCCCCTCCCCGCTCACTCACCCCGCCCACTCGCCCCTTTTTAACCGGCGGCCGTGGTTTTTTGCGGTTCAGCTCGCGGGCGGGGCGGGCGGGCAGGCCCGGATTTCGTCTCAAACCAACGTTCAGCGTCGCCGATTCGTCGACGAGGAACCTCCCCTCGTCCAAGGTCGCGACGCGGACTTGAGAAAAAAGCCGTCCATGAATTTCTAAACGCATCGTAAACCCGACGCGGGATCGGCTTCGTCCGTACCCGGAGATCTGGAACCACATCGCCGCAAGCACGCCCACTTCCTCCCGTTCCCGACATCGTGAACCAACGCAGATTTCCCTCGCCGGGGGGGGGGGGGGGGAGGGACCACAGCGGCGTCGCCCTGGTACCACGAAGTCGTTACACGTACCGTCGCCTCGTCCTCCAGTCGGGTTATACCTCCCCTCCCCCACCCCCCCCAAAAGAAGAAAAAAAAGGAGTAGCCTCCAAACTCAAAATTGCTGCTAGCGGGCAGGCGGACAGGCAGGCGGACAGGCGGTCAGGCGGGCAGGCGGACAGGCAGGCGGACTGGCTGGTGGATCGGCAGTCCAGCCGGTGCTATGCGGTGGGCGGCCGGTCACGGGGGTGTTCTGGTGGGTGGGTGCTGGGGGGGGGTGAGTGGAGGTGCACGGGGGGGGGGGGGGAGGGGGAAATGACGACGAGGAGAGAGTGGGGTTGAGAGTAGGAGGTGGTGGTGGTGGGGGGCAGGGTGGTGGTGGTGGGGGGGCAAGGTGGTGGTGGGGGGTCTCAGTCGTCACAGCCGCCGCCGTACATGTCGGCGAGCTTACGGAAGCGCGGCCCCCACGAGTTGAGACGCTCGTAGTAGTCGTAGTCGTCGTGGTGGTCGTCGTCGTCGCCGCCCCCCCCCGCGCTCGAAGAGCCGAGCGAGCTGAGCGAGCTGAGCGAGCCGGCCAGGGAGCCGTCCCCCTCGTGGTGGAACACGTGCAGCGAGTCGTAGGGCGGTGTTGTCGTGTCGTCGTCGGCCGTGCGCAGGCCCTGAAAGCCAGAACACCACCACCACCGCCGCCGCGGGAGACAGATGGTGACGTTAACGACGATGACGTCATCGACGTCGACAGCCAATGATGACGACGACGATGACGTTTGTGACGGCATCAGCAACGATACAAACGTCGGCACCGACGATGACGTCATCGACATCGACGACGATGACCTAACGACAAAATTTCGCCATGGCATCAACAACATCGGCGATTACGTCGCCAGCAACGACGTCGTCCACCATTAAGATGACATCGTCATCATCTATACGCTGTGCACTGTGTGGTGGAGCGGTGGTGTAGTGGTCAGCGCGCCGCACTACGTACGTGTCTACGTAGAACTTCCACTGCGCCGTACGTAGCCAACTGCGCCAATTGGGGGCGTTACGAAACCCGGCGGCCCGAGTCGGATTCCCGCTCACGAGCAAACACCGGGGTGACGATTATCTGACCCGGTCCTGGGCCTCCCCCCCTAGCTCGACTCCGCCTCAATCGAGTCCCCGGGCGCGGCGTGTCAACATCGCCACTGGGGGGGGAGACAAAGACGGCCAGCGGGCATGGTGCCGGCCACCCACCCTCCTCCGTGCACCGCTCCTCGCCAACGAGACCTTTGTCTCGTGCATCGTTTGACGGGGCGGTGGCGGCGATGGTTCACGTGCGCGGCGCTGGGTTTGGTCGTGCGCGGTTCCATCCCCTACGTGCGTGCGGCGTTTGCCACCTCTCCCACCCACCCACCCACCCCCCCTTACCACCCACCTCGCTGATGAAGTCGCCGATGTCGCTGGGGTGCGGGTAGCGCGGCTCGGCCAGCGACGGCCGCGTCGTCCAGGTGGCGCACGCCGGGGCCCTCGCGGCGCGGCGGCGGCAGCTCGCTCGGGAGCCGAACCAGCAGCAGCGCCGGGTCGTAGTCCTGCGGCAGCAGACCGCGCCGTCATCTCGCCGGCGCGTGGGCACGCAGGGCGCTGCCCGCCACCGCGAGAGGGTCTCTCGCTGGACAGTCAAACCGCATCCACCGCCACACTGCCGTCTCTCCGCACCACCGCACCACCGCATAAACGCACCGCGCAGATGTGCGAGCACGCCTCTCACCCGGTCCTCCTCTCCCCCGCCCTCGTCGTCGTCGTACGTGAAGACGTCGCCGCCTCCTCCTCGTCCTCGGGGTCGCAGAGCGGTTTCTCGTCGCGGCGCCTCTTGCGAGCGACGAAGAGCGGCGCCAGGACTGCACGTGGGGGGGGGGGGGGGCGACCCGCCCCGGTCAAACCGCGGAAATCCTCCGCGAACGAACGGAGATCTCGCCGCACGAATCCCCGCGCCGCCGGGGGGGGGCCCCGCGTCCGCAGCACCGGGTCCCCCCGAACGATACCGACGGCTATTATATTAAATTTTGATTTAAAGCTTTCGTGACTGCAGTAATTCATATTCTTAGTTTTTTCGGTAAAGTCACGTTGAAGAGAAACAACAAAATAACAAAATATATATAAAACAATAAAAAAATTCTCACGACGTTTCGACCATAACTCAAACGGTCATCATCAGGTGTGTCGGTTTGCATAAATTTATTTTGAAAACGGCATATTTATTTATTTATTTATATAAAAATAACGTTTGCGTCACGCGCAACGATTGGCAGTTTGCCAGGACTAGTCCATCTATTTTTGAAAAGAGGAGGGGGGAGACGAAATTTGTTTTTATGTATGCTGTCTGAAAGCCACTGTAAGCGTGAACAATCAATCAAGAACTGAAATGATTTATCAAATCTTTCCAATGATTGCTAAGATAGAATCCATCTTCTCGGTTGAAATTGTCTCTGTGCTTGTATATGTGGATAGCCTCATGAACGAATCTCTCATGGAAGCCAGATGGCTTACAAAGAACCTCCGTCTTGGAAAAGTCAATGGCATGTGAGCCTACTGAATTAGAACAATGATCTGCTACGGCCGAGGTGTTGGTCCTACCGTGTTTAAGGTCTGCTTTATGTTCACGAATGCGGTCCGAGATATGGCGTTTGGTTTCTCCAATGTAACTACTACCACAGAGGCAACTTAGTTTGTAGACACCAGGGTATTGTATGTCCGGAATCATTAGCTCTTTCGGTAAAGTGACGTTGAAGGAAAACAATAAAATATATATAAAATACAAATTCTCACGACGTTTCGACCATAACACAAACGGTCGTCATCAGGTGTGTCCGTTTGTGTTATGGTCGAAACGTCGTGAGAATTTTTATTGTTTTATATATATTTTATTATTTTATTGTTTCCCTTCAACATGGTGACTTTACCGAAAGAGCTAAGAATATGAATCGCTGCAGTCACGAAAGCTTTAAATCAAAAAGATGCCGCCGACGACGACGTCAAACTCACCGAGAAGCAGCAGCAGCAGCAGCAGGCAGAGGAGGGCGGCCTCGGCGCCGGCGGCGTCGGCGGCATCGCGGCCGAGGGCAGTCGCCACGCCGGTCGCAGGCGCACACCTTCACCTGGAGCTCCGACACGGCGCTCATCGCGGGGTTGCCCGAGTCCGTGACGAGCAGCGGCACCAAGTAGAGGCCCTCGGGCAGCGCCGTCTTCATGCGCAGCTGCGAGCCGCCGCCTGCGGGGCAGAAGGGGAGGGGGAGCGTGGAGCGTGGAGCGGAGAGATGTCGTGCGGTGCGCCGAGGGCGGGGTGGCGGGGCGCATCGGGGAGTCGTGCCGGCGACGAGAGTCGACGACGCGGCTCTCGGCCGCGTCCCGGGCCGCCCGCTCGTTCGGAAAGCGCCGGCGAATCCGGAGGGGGTCGGGGGGCGGCGACGTTTTCCCGGCTCTCGTCCGACGGGTCGCGAGGTGCGGGTCGACGACAATGGACTGGCGCGTTCGGTTGTTTTGGAGCGGTGGCCTGGGCGAGGACGAGATTTTGCGCGTTGCGATGCCGCACCCCGCCTCCGCCGTGTTTTATCCATCAACGTGGCGGGATTTGGTGACTCTGCCTTATGGCTCAAGCTGGGGCGGGGAGGGGGAGAGGGGGAATGGGGATCCGTCCGGATCGGAAAAACCCGGAAAATATTTTCGTACCCGGCACACCGTGTCCAGTATACCACTGGCTCCTGCTCAGTTGCGTGCCACCCCCACGCTCAGTGGGTTCACGAGAAACAACGAGATACTGGGCGAGATAATTACGAAGTAATCCCTGAGTAGGGCGCTGGGTTTTGCTGCTACGCTGCCCTCTGCTGACAACACAGGCCAAGAGCAAGGTGGGGGCAGAGCGGGACAGGGTAGGGGGCAGTGCAAGCGTAGGAGTCATGGCGAGCGAGTGGGAGCAGAGTGATTGCTGAGTGATGGCAAGCGATTGAGTGATGGTGAGCGAGTGATTGCTGAGTGATTGTGAGCGAGTGATTGCTGAGTGATTGCTGAGTGATTGCTGAGTGATTGTGAGCGAGTGATTGCTGAGTGATTGTGTGGGTGGTGCAGTGCAAGGGCAGCGTGGGGGGGGGGGGTGGTGGAGGGGCCAGCTGGCGGTGACGTCGACGGCGCCGCCCGGCGCGCCGCACGCCGCAGCCTCGTCGGGCCGGGCGACGGGGGCGTTGTCATTGACGTCCGACAGCAGCAGCGCCAGCGTCCCCGTGCCGCTCGCCACGGGGTCGCCTGCTCCCACCGGCATGCCGAGACACGAAGAGCGAGATTCCCGCACGCCCCCACCGCTCGCCGGCCTTCTACAAACCTGGGAAGGTTCGGCACGGCAGCCTTTGTCTCCCCAGTGAGGATGTTTACACACACACACACCTCTGTCTCCCCAGTGAGGATGCTTACACACACACACACACGACACCTCTGTCTCACCAGTGAGGATGTTTACACACACACACACACGGCACCTCTGTCTCCCCAGTGAGGATGTTTACACACACACACGGCACCGGGTACTCTTGTTTGAGGCCGAGTCAACCAAGGGGAGACCGATTCGGATAATCGTCATCGATGTTGGGCGTGAGCGGCAATCGAACTCGGCTTGCCGGGTTTGTGATGCAGCGCGCCGACCCTTCCACCACCGCTCCAGACGTGGACCGGTTACACAAGCATACCACACCAGGGACGCATTGTAAGGCTGAGTCTACCTACAGACGCACCCCACTCACTCATTTTGTGAATTGCACCTTTAAGGAGAAGCCACACACGCCAATCGAAGGTGCGGGAAATGGCGAACGAGCGCGGCGCGACGGTGAGTGATGGCGAGTGATGGTGAGTGATGGTGAGTGAGTGATGGTGAGTGAGTAAGTCAGTGATGGTGAGTGTGTGATGGTGAGTAAGTCAGTGATGGTGAGTGATGGTGAGTGAGTGATGGTGAGTGAGTAAGTCAGTGATGGTGAGTGATGGTGAGTAAGTCAGTGATGGTGAGTGAATGATGGTGAGTAAGTCAGTGATGGTGAGTGAGTAAGTCAGTGATGGTGAGTGAGTAAGCCAGTGATAGTGAGTGAGTGATGGTGAGTAAGTCAGTGATGGTGAGTGAGTGATGGTGAGTGAGTAAGCCAGTGATGGTGAGTGAGTGATGGTGAGTAAGTCAGTGATGGTGAGTAAGTCAGTGATGGTGAGTGAGCGAGTGACAGTGAGTGAGTGAGTGGTGAGTAAGCCAGTGATGGTGAGTGAGCGAGTGATAGTGAGTGAGTAAGCCAGTGATGGTGAGTGAGTAAGCCAGTGATGGTGAGTGAACGAGTGGTAGTGAGTGGTAAGCCAGTGATGGTGAGTGAGTAAGCCAGTGATGGTGAGTGAGTGATGGTGAGTGAGTAAGCCAGTGATGGTGAGTGAGTGATGGTGAGTAAGTCAGTGATGGTGAGTGATGGTGAGTGAGTGATGGTGAGTGAGTAAGTCAGTGATGGTGAGTGATGGTGAGTGAGTGATGGTGAGTAAGCCAGTGATGGTGAGTGAGTGATGGTGAGTGAGTAAGTCAGTGATGGTGAGTGATGGTGAGTGAGTGATGGTGAGTAAGTCAGTGATGGTGAGTGAGTAAGTCAGTGATGGTGAGTGAGTGATGGCGAGTGAGTAACTCAGTGATGGTGAGTGAGTGATGGTGAGTGAGTAAGTCAGTGATGGTGAGTGAGTGATGGCGAGTGAGTAAGCCAGTGATGGTGAGTGAGTGATGGTGAGTGAGTAAGTCAGTGATGGTGAGTGATGGTGAGTGAGTGATGGTGAGTGAGTAAGCCAGTGATGGTGAGTGAGTGATGGCGAGTGAGTAAGCCAGTGATGGTGAGTAAGTCACTCATGGTGAGTGTGCGAGTGATAGTGAGTGATAGTGAGTGGTGAGTAAGCCAGTGATGGTAAGTCAGTGATGGTGAGTGAGTGATGAGTGAGCGAGTGACAGTGAGTGAGTGATAGTGAGTGAGTGGTGAGTAAGCCAGTGATGGTGAGTGAGTGAGTAAGCCAGTGATGGTGAGTGAGTGATAGTGAGTGGTGAGTAAGTCAGTGATGGTGAGTGAGTAAGCCAATGATGGTGAGTGAGCGAGTGATAGTGAGTGAGTGATGGTGAGTGAGTGATGGTGAGTGAGTAAGCCAGTGATGGTGAGTAAGCCAGTGATGGTGAGTGAGTGATGGTGAGTGAGTGGTGAGTAAGCGTGGTGTGATGACGAGTGAATAAGCGAGCCAATGTTGTGTGGCTGGGGCGTGTCTGTACACAGGGAGGGGGGTGGTGCAGTGTGGGGGAGGGGCAGCCCTCACCGTCATCCGTGGCCAGGAAGGTGGCCGTGTAGGTGTTGGCCTGCACCAGGGCCGCCTCGCGGTCCAGCACCACGGCCGTGGTCACCTTGCCGCTCACGGGGTCGATGTCCAGCCAGTCGCCCGGCACCCAAAGCTTCTTGTAGCTGCGCGCGGCCCCATCACGCAGACACACGTGCACACAGGTGAGTCACACACACAGGTGAGTCTCACACACAGGTGAGTCTCACACACAGGTGAGTCACACACACAGGTGAGTCACACACACAGGTGAGTCTCACACAGGTGAGTCTCACACACAGGTGTCTCACACACAGGATGAGTCGCACACACAGGTGAGCTCACACACAGGTGAGTCACACACACAGGTGAGTCTCACACACAGGTCAGTCTCACACACAGGTGATTCACACACACAGGTGAGTCACACACACAGGTGAGTCTCACACACAGGTGAGTCACACACACAGGTGAGTCTCACACACAGGTGAGTCTCACACACAGGTGATTCACACACACAGGTGAGTCACACACACAGGTGAGTCTCACACACAGGTGAGTCACACACACAGGTGAGTCTCACACACAGGTGAGTCTCACACACAGGTGAGTCACACACACAGGTGAGTCTCACACACAGGTGAGTCTCACACAGAGGTGAGTCACACACACAGGTGAGCCTCACACACAGGTGAGTCACACACACAGGTGAGTCACACACACAGGTGAGTCTCACACACAGGTGAGTCTCACACAGAGTTGAGTCTCACACAGAGGTGAGTCTCACACAGATGAACAGAGGTGAGTCTCACACAGAGGTGAGTCACACACAGAGGTGAGTCTCACACAGGTGAAAAGAGGTGAGTCACACACAGAGATGAGTCAGACACACAGATGCACAGGGTTCACACAGGCAATTCACACAGCTTAGTGTCACACAGCCGAACAGAGTGAGTCACACACAGGTGAGGCGCACACACACACACACAGGTGAGGCGCACACACACACACAGGTGAGATGCGCACACACACACACCCACACAGAAGGGTCGGCTGCCGGCTGTCCGGGCGGCGACGGGAGCGGCCGGGGGGAGTGTGGCTGGGGAAGGCCTCACCGCACGGCCTGCCCCTGCGCGGTGTCGGGGTCACGGGCCACCACGGTGGTCACGTGGTGGCCCATGGGGAGGCCCTCGGGGAGCTTCACCTCCCGCCGCAGCGGCTCGAACGTCGGCCCCTCGTTCTCGTCTTCCACCGTCACCTACCGGGCCGGCGGGGGGGTGGGGGGGAGGCTGTTAGCGAGCACCTGTAGAGGTGGTGGGGGGGGCTGTTAGCGAGCAGCTGTAGAGTTGGGGGGGGGGCTGTTAGCGAGCACCTGTAGAGGTGGTGGGGGGGGGCACGGTGTGGGCGGTCGTGCGGGAGGCGGTGCGGCCGTCACCAGCGCTGTGCTTCACAGCGCTGGTGACGGCACAGATGTCCAGGAGACACCTGTGAAAAAAAAGGTCTACTGGACTTGAAATAAGTAAACATCGGGGTGCTTAAGTCATTCGCTCTCATCGGCCGAGAAAAATTGTCGATAACAAACGGGCGCGACTGAAGTTTCGCCGTCTGAGGCGGTATCAGATCTGCCCCCGCGAGCGGCGCAGGAAGCTGTGGGGGGGCGAAACTTGTGGGGGGCCGCGGGGGGCAGCGGGGGGCCGCGGGGGGCACTCACGGTGACGGTCGCGGTGCTCGCCGGTCCGAACTCGGCGCTCTTGAGCGACGCCTCGTTCTCCACGGCGACGACGAGGTTGTACTTGGACGAGCTCTCAAAGTCCAAGGGCTGCAGCGTACACACACACCACACACCACACACACCAACCACGCACCACACACACACACCACACACACACCACACACACCCACACCACACACACCACACACACCACACACACCAACCACACACACACACCAACCACGCACCACACACCACACACCAACCACGCACACACCACCACACACGCCACACACACTTACCACACACCACACACCAACCACGCACACACACCACACACACACACCACACAACAACAACAACCGCCATTCACCACTAAGTGGCGGTGACGTCACCACGACGCTTGTGCCAGGCTATGTGCACCCTGAGGCCACGTGAAGTGTCGAACGCCCGCTGGCAGGAGGTCACGGGGCAGACCCAGGTGCCACGGGTCGACTGACTGAGATGACTGGCTGATGCACCACCTGTGTCCCCCTACTGTGCCAACCTGCTGTGCTTTAGCCACCCGGCGCTCCGCTCGCTGTTGTGAGCTGTCGCTCCTCCGCCCTCCGTTGTTGTTGGAGGGCGACTGCCTCCAACTGCCCAGTAGCATCCTTCACGAGCCTCCTCCACAGAGGCCGATCTTGACACCGCTGGTACCAGTCATCGGCAAGTCCACTCAGCTCCACGTCCTCCTGTACCACATCACTCCATCTCTTCTCTAGCCCGTGCCGCGCCCGCTTAGCCCCCTCAATCCGGCCAAACAAAAGCTGTTTCGGCATGCGGTGGCTGGGCATGCGGGCTACATGACCCAGCCATCGCAGCCTTGCCTGCCGGAGGAGCTCACCGATGGGACCCTGCCCAGATCTTTCAAGGATTTGTGAGCTCCTCACACAATCCAGTCTGGTTAAACCCAGGATGGATCGTAGGCAGGCCAGCCTAAATGTTTCTAACCGGCAAAGATGTTCCATTAGGGGGGTCCACGTTTCGCAAGCGTAGAGAAGGGAGGGAATGACCGTGGCCGAGAAGACCTGAAGCTTAGTGCGGAGCGACAGACCAGGTAGCTTCCACACAGCGTTACGCAACCGATGAAAAGATATTGCCGCTCGACTGATTCGGAGTGAACTTTAATCGATTAAACTTTAATCGCTCTGACAGCTACCGGCTTAGTGCGGCCTGGAAGCGTATTATTAAATAATACACATTACATTTAAAGAATTACTAATCTACAACTCATTACTAATCATAACCAATGACTGATTACTAATCGATTATATAATTACAATACCCCCCCCCCTCCGCCTCTAATCACTGCACCTGATATGAGTTAAGTGATGACGTCACCCTGCTGCCCTATATAAAAACCGGGAGCAAGCGAGGGCTTTACCATTCTGGCGAATTGCCCGATGATGCTGGATGTATTTACCAGCGAAACGTCGTACTCAAACTGTAAATGTGGATTAACTCTTCAACACACCGGTGGGCTGAAGTAGTGAATTATTTGTCTTTTGTCAACGTGACACTTTTTTTGCTGATTGGCCGTGTCGGGTGGTGGAGGGTTACGACACATTTATAAATAAACGCGATCTAACTCAAAAACCTTTATTATGAATCCATTATCACCACCACCACCACTACCCCATCACCGTCTCCTACGTTACACCATCACCACGACCATCAGCATCACCATCATCACCACCACTATCACTACCCAACCACCATCACCGTCTCCGCCGCGGCAGCGCGTGGCAGACCCCCCCCCCCCACCGCCCTCCCCCCACCACCGTGCCCCCCCCCACCGCCCCCACCCCCCCCACCGCCCTCCCCCCCACCACCGGCCCCCCCCCCCCACCGCCCCCCCCCCCCCACCACCGTGCCCCCCCCCCCCACCGTGAAGACGTAGAGCCTGCCGTCGTTGGTGCGGGGGTCGGTCTCCACGGCGAAGTTCTTGCCGGGGTCCCCGCCGCGGACGACGTAGCGAGTGCGCCACGCCGGCGTGCCGGGCTCGTCCACGTCCGTCGCCGTCAGCGTCGTCACCGTCACGTTCACCGCGTTCTCGCGCGCCGTACCGCTGAACTGCGGCGGAGACGGTGGTGGGGGGGGGACGTCGTCAGATTCATTGTTCCGCCAGTCTCAAAAATAAAAATATTTTACCAGGTAAGGCCCCACAGCACAGAGCTATGTAGCTCTGTTTTTAGAAGCAACCTAGTCATCAAATGGTAGCTCAGCGAAGTGGCTCATCATCACGTGGAAATGTGTACAACAGCTTTGAACGCACATTAAATTCTGGGTGCGGAGGGTAAAGCCCGCAAGACCACCACGGGGAGAACATTCAAATTACAAATACACAGGCATCAGTGTCAGGATCAAACCCACGACCTTCCGCATACCACACAAGGAAGTGAACATCTTGCCAACCGGGAAATGTTAGTCGATGGCGAATGTTAATTTAGAGGCAATGTAAGTCTACGGGCCATTTTCGTCTAAGTGCAATGTAAATCTACATGCAATGTTAATCTATGGGCCATGTAAAGTCTAGGCGGGTGATCTGGTGGCGCGGCGTGGTTGTGTGCGGCGGCGGCGGTGCGTACGGTTATGCCCGTAAACTCGGGGGCATTGTCGTTTTTGTCGGTGATGGTGACGATGGCGGTGGCCGTGTTTGCGAGGCCGATGTCCGGGTCGCCCTCCATGTCCAAGGCCTGCACCACCAGCACGTACTGCGGCGTCCTCTACACAGACGGGGCACGCAGACGCACGACTCTTACAGATGAACGACAAAACGAAGAGGACAAACATTCCTCGTGCAGCCTCGACAGACCTTTGTGCTGGGTGGCCAGCATCACGCCCGGCCGCCTTTGTCTCCCTAGTGGGGATGTTTTCACACTGCAGCAGGTTACTCATTTGAGGCCGAGTCGACCGTCACCGGTGTTGGACCGGACTCAGGTCCCCGGGTTCGTAGCGCGGCGCGCTAACAGCGTCACCGTCGCTTCCGAGACACAGGGCACCACACAATACGAGGTACATGGTCAGTAGAAATACATATATTTCATTCTATCTATGCTGGTATGTGCAATCCAAAGGTTGAACACGAAATTTAACGCTCTTCTGAAATTCGTGGTCCGCCAGGAAGTGTCTAGCTGTGTTGTTGGCCTGACTGGATGTGCTTCACAAAATGTTTTTTCAGGTTTGTTGAATTCTCATCTCTCATCTCTTTGCTGTATTTACCTCCGTGATTTGTTCTTGACACCCGATGAAGATCGCTTGCGTTGCGATCGAAACGTCGTGATTGTTTTTTGTTTTAATATAATTTTATTGTATTTCTACATACGTGACTTTACCGAAAAAACCAATGAGTAATTTTATTCAGTCACAAAAGCTTTAATACTTTATTAGGGCACCACACAATATCGGGAAGCCACTGTAGCTGCGCACTTTTAAATCCAGACTGAAAACTCGTTTCTTTAGAGCTGCTTTTCGTGTCGCGCCCTTTCGCCCTTCCCTCGCACCTCCGATCGGTGCGGTCGCCTGCGTACGGCGCGCGACTTGACGTTCAACGCAACGTGCATACACGACTGAAAACACCCGAACGTAACACCGTACGCACAACCCCGGAGGTTAGCCACCACCCCCCCGGGCCGACGTCTGCCAATCGGCGGCGGTTGCCGTGGGACGACGCACCTCGCGGTCCAGCCCAGCGGCGATGGTGCTGATGACGCCCGTGGCGTTGTCGACGGTGAACGTGCGCTCCAAGGGCACCTTGGGGGCCTGCGACATGATCTTGTAGCGGATCATGCCGTTGGCCGATAAGGCGTCGTCCTTGTCGCTCGCCTCGACCCTCATCACCGCCGTGCCTGCCGGGGGAGGGAGGGAGGGCAGGCAGGGCAGGGGAGGGCAGAGGGGAAAAGCAGGGAGGGAGGCGTGGACGTCGTTACTATCAAAAACAAAACATTATATTCGTTCGCATCACAACCACCACCATTCTTGTCATTCTCAACATCGTCGTCGTTATCAAGAACATCCACATCCATGTCCACGATCCAACATCCGCGATCAAAGATATTATAAATAATGTCACCACAATCATAATGATTTAAACCAGCTTCACCTGTTAATCATTGCCATTGTTACCAACATCACCACCATGCCTATTGCCACCTCTACCACATTCACCACCAATATCCCCACTGCCACTACCACCACCATCACAACAACAACAACCGCCATTCGCCACTAAGTGGCGGTGACATCACCACGACGCTGGTGCCAGGCTGTGTGCACGTTGAGGCCACGTGAAGTGTCGAACACCCGCTGGCAGGAGGTCACAGGGCAAACCCAGGTGCCACGGGTCGAATGACTGAGACGACTGGCTGATGCACCACCTGTGCCCCCTACTGTGCCAACTTGCTGTGCTTTAGCCACCCGGCGCTCCGCTTATTGTTGTGAGCGTCGCTCCTCCGCCCTCCATTGTTGTTGGAGGGCGGCTGCCTCCAACTGCCCAGTAGCATCCTTCACGAGCCTCCTCCAGAGGCCGATCTTGACAGCGGCAAGTCCGCTCAGCTCCACATCCTCCTGTACCACATCACTCCATCTCTTCTCTAGCCCGTGCCGCGCCTGTTTAGCTCCCTCGATCCGGCCGAACAAAAGCTGTTCGGCATGCGGTGGCTGGGCATGCGGGCTCCATGACCCAGCCATATGCCGGAGGAGCTCACCGATGGGACTTTGTCCAGATCTTTCGAGGATACGTGAGCTCCTCACACAATCCAGCCTGCCTGGTTAAACCCAGGATGAATCGTAGGCAGGCCAGCCTAAATGTTTTAAACCGGCGAAGATGTTCCATTCGGGGGGTCGACGTTTCGCAAACGGAGAGAAGGGAGCGAATGACCGTGGCCGAGAAGACCTGAAGCTTCGTGCAGAGCAACAGACCAGGAAGCTTCCACATGGCGTTACGCAACCGATGAAAAGATATTGCCGCTCGACTGATTCAGAGTGAGACCTCTGCTGTAAAACCGGAGCTGGTCATGAGCACACTACCCAGGTATGGGTAAACTCTCCACTCTCTTCACAACTGCCCTATCATCAATTGAGAGTTGTGGGGGTGGAGTCAAACCGGAGTTGGTCATGAGCACACTGCCCCGGTATGGGTAAACTCTCCACTCTCTCCACAACTGCCCCATCACCAATTGAGAGTTGTGGGGGTTGAGTGTCCGATGGTACAAAATACCCAGGCGGGCGCTATCACTATCACAACCCCGTCACCACCGCGCCCGTCTGTGCCCATCCGTACGCCGCACCTCTTGGGGATCCCTCAGCCACGGAGCCCTGGAAAACGGGCGTGGCAAACTCGGGCCGGTTGTCGTTCATGTCGATGACGTTGATGACGAGCTTCATGGGGTTCTCCACCGGCTGCCCCTTCATGTCCACCGCGTGGCCCTTGAGCTGCAGCGGGCACGCCACGCACACGCAACGCACACGCAACGCACGCAACGTGCGGCACACGCAAGAAAGCGCCCTGGTTCTCATCGCCATTGGAGCTGCCCTGGGCTGCCCCTGGGTCCCAGTCATTGATGCTGCCCCCGATTGCCCTGGGCCGTGTAAACGTCGCCACTCTGGAGACAAAAGCGTGGGTGGGGTTGCTGGCCACCCACCCCGTCGTGCACAATGTTGGGCTTCATGCGGGTTCTCGCTAACAGCACTTGCCTCAACCGTCTACGACGCGCTATACAAGGGATCCTTTGTCCCTGCGTCTCGTCGTTGTTGTTGTGGTGGTGTTGGGATGTTTAGAGTTGGCCAAACATCCCTCTTAGAGCGGTGGTTCTCTAAGGGTAGTACCTGGACCACCGACGGTCCAGGACGGTACTCCTGGAGGTCCGCTGGGCTGCGATGCTAATTGCAGGTTGATCCGCAAAGGTTTATGCATTTTGTTTCGAACATTAATAGTTTACTCGTGATATTTAAAATTGAAAAATAAAATTAAGTAAACCACCCCGATTAAAACTACCCGAACCCTGAGATCTAAACCGTTATAGCTGCGTTAACGTTATTTTAATGTTCCGGTAATATGAATGTAATTTAGTAATATTGGTATTTAGAGAAGTGAATGGTTTGTGTCACCAGGGGCGGGAGGGGGTTGCACCACGTAAATGTTTACACTGACCGAGTGGTCCGGGGGCCAGGAAATTTGAGAAAACTCCGCAATAGAGGCCTAGACCTTACCACGCGAACACACACACACACGTGGATGTGCTCACACACACACACGTGGGTGTGCTCGCTAACACACACACGTGGGTGTGCTCGCTAACACACACGTGGGTGTGCTCACTAACACACACGTGGGTGTGCTCGCTAACACACACACACACACGTGGGTGTGCTCGCTAACACACACACACACGTGGGTGTGCTCGCTAACACACACACACACACACACGTGGGTGTGCTCGCTAACACACACACACACGTGGGTGTGCTCGCTAACACACACACACACACGTGGGTGTGCTCGCTAACACACACGTGGGTGTGCTCACTAACACACACATGGGTGTGCTCGCTAACACACACACACACACGTGGGTGTGCTTGCGTGGGCGCCTCACCAGATACTCTGCGATTAGCTCACGGTCCAGGGTCTTGGTGACCGAGAGGCGTCCGGTCACGGAGTTTACGACGAACACCCCCGTGGGGTTCTGGTCGGCGCCGGGCCCCACGATGCTGTAGCGGATTTTCCCGCGCGTGTTCGATTTGATCTGCGGGGGCGGACGCGGACGGGGTAGGGGAGGCGGCAGGGGGCGGCGTTACGCTCCGCGCGATAGCCACGCTCGTACATCGCGTGAATACGCGTACGCAAAGATACCCCGGATAGCCTTCAGCAGGCTGCCGGGACAAGCGCGGTTGGCGAGCGGCAGCAAATATGAAGGCTGGCGTGGCACACGAGGGGGTGCGATACGCGGTTACCAACACACCCGGCCGCCTTTATCTCCCCAGTGTGGAGACGGTTATACATCGCACCGTGTACTTAGTTGAGACCAAGTTCAGATAACTGTCACTGGGTGTTAGCCGTAAGTGGAAATCAAACTCACGTCTCCAGGTTCAGAGCGCAGTGTGTGCTAACCAATTCGCCACCGTTCCCCCAACATATATGCATGTACACACACACACAAACATCACATGCTGATACATGGCATGCTAAATACACCACGAACCCCAAAGACACATACACCACATGCCACACACACACATTCACCCTCACACTCACCAACGCGTGACATTCACACACTGCTCAACACGGGGTTGAACGTAGGCAGCAGGGCACCCGAGTTGGGGATCGAACCCAGGCCCCCCTTTCTTGCCGGTGTGGGAGGGGTGCGGGGGTAGAGGGGGCAAGGGGGGGAAGAGGGCAGGGGGACCTTCACCTGCACCAGCCCCTTGGGGAAGGGCCGCGGTCGTTCTCGGGGACGTTGATCGCCGGGATGAGCCAGCCGCGCTTCTGCCGGCGCCGCCTGCCGCTTCGCAGCCGGCGGAACGCGAGCACGCCGCCCTCGCCTCCGTGCGCCGCGCCCTCTTCCGCCCCCGCGGCGCCGACGCCCGCCTCCTCCTCCTGGCGCTCCTCCTCCTCCTCCTGGCACTCCGTCTCCCGCTTGGGTGTCCCCCCGTGCCTTCCCTGCGAGACGAAGCGGCGGCGGCGACTCCGTTGGGACGACGCTAACGGTGCCGCGATCGCCCCCCCCCCCCTCTCTCTCACGCGCGACTTTGCGACCGCCGCTCCTCGCCGCTCGACAATCCAGCCGGGCCACCCCACCCCCCATTTCATCACGTGGGGGGGGTGGGGGGGGGGGGTAGCGCGGTCAACGTCACGAAGTTCACAAGCGACGTTGGTCGCGTTGGGCCACGCGTCGACGACACCGGCCGACCGTTCCCATTTGCCTCGGCCCCTGAACCTGAAGATTGCCGCGCGTGCCAAGTCGCTTACTTCACGTTTCCCCACGGTGGCGAGATGTTAACTACCTCGCCTGGTGTGCCGGAGGTCGTGGGTTCGATGCCGACGCTAACGGTGCCTGTGTATTTGGAGTTTGCGTGTTCTCCCCGTGGCCGTGTGGATTTTTCTCCGGTTCTTACAGGTTTTTACCTGCACATTTAGAGTCAACGTGCGCTTGGGAGTTGTTTGTGACGCTAAAGATGCCCACGTGATTAACCGCCTCATCGGGCTATCGTTTGTGGGCAGGACGCTTCTGAAAGCGAGCTACATAACCCAGTGGGGCTTTACCTGGTGAAATAAAACAAAAGTTTGAAATAGTTTAATTATACTCCGACCTCTAATCCGCAATTTCGAGGCGAAATTAATAACGGGCGTACCGTTAAGACGCTCATTTCACCCACGGCGATTCAATTTGCTTGGGGGTCCGATGGTGGGGGGTGTTCTTAACGACATAAATTTGGCCGGATCGTTGCGTGGCCTAAACCTGGAAAATAAACTCCGAATAGCAACGCCAGCTGCGGATAAAAAGGTACGCTTTTTCTTTGGTTCTTTCGGTAAAGTCACCACCACGTAGAATGAGAATAAAATAATTAAAATTAATCAAATAACACAATAAAATTCCCACGTTTCAGCCACACCGCAAGTGGCCTTCTTCAGGTGAAAGGAACAGACCTGTCGGGACGACAGAGCTTCAAGTCGTCCCGACAGGTCTGTTCCTTCACCTGAAGGCCACTTGTGTTGTGGCCGAAACGTCGTGATAATTTTATCGTGTCATTTTATTAATTTATTATTTTATTCTCATTCTACGTGGTGACTTTACCGAAAGAACCAAAGAAGATGAATCCTTGCAGTCACGAAAGCTTTAAATCGAAAAATAAAAAGGTACACGTCAAAGTTAACGGCGAAGACGCGTCGCTCGCACCGTAACTGCGCTCACACAAGGCAGCAGTACCTCTACGTCGTCTCAACCCTACCTCAAACGCTGCGTTCAGCCACTCCGGTTATACGGTTGGGGGCGGGGGGGGTCAGAGGTCGTGGACTCAACGCCTGCTGCTTATTAGGCACGGCGCAAAGCTGCGTGGTGCAGGAAGTGATCCGTTAAGGCCGCGTGGAGCGGGGGGGGGGGCATGGGAGGGGGGGGGGCAACAGCTGTGGTTGTGGCGGCGGTGGTGAGGGTGGCAGACGGAGGTGAGGACACTCGGACATTGTGCCAGCGAAGATTCCAAAGTGGCACCGTCACCCTCGCCACAGGTGCTGCTGGCAATGTTGGGGTGGGAGGGGGGTGGTGAGGTGGGACGTTGGTGAGGTGGGGGGGTGGAGGGGTGGGGGGGTGGTGAGGTGGGGGGTGGTGAGGTGGGACGTTGGTGAGGTGGGGGGGTGGTGAGGTGGGACGTTGGTGAGGTGGGGGGGTGGTGAGGTGGGACGTTGGTGAGGTGGGGGGGTGGTGGGGTGGGAGGTTGGTGGGGTGGGAGGTTGGTGGGGTGGGGGGGTGGTGGGGTGGGAGGTTGGTGGGGTGGGGGGTTGGTGGGGTGGGGGGTTGGTGAGGTGGGGGGGTGGTGAGGTGGGGGGGTGGTGGGGTGGGAGGTTGGTGGGGTGGGGGGTTGGTGGGGTGGGGGGTTGGTGTGGGGGGGGGGGTGGTGGGGTGGGGGGTGGGGGGGTGGTGGGGTGGGGGGGTGGTGGGGTGGGGGGTGGGAGGTTGGTGGGGTGGCGGGGTGGTGAGGTGGGGGGGTGGTGGGGTGGGGGTGAGGTGGGAGGTTGGTGGGGGGAAGCAGTGTAAGTGGTAGAGGGATGCAAGGGGGGGTCTGACGAACGAGCTTGAAAAGGGGATGAAGGGGATGAGGACGCGTTTGGGGGTGTGAGGCCCCGTTACCTGAGACTCGCGGCTTTGTTCCTCCGCTCTCACCGCGCCCAGCAGCAGCAGCAGCAGGGGTAGCAGCAGCACCCTGGGGTACAGCCCCCTCATTTCGGGGGTTCCCTCTTCGCGGGCGGGGGGGGGGGGTCCCTGAATCCCCTCAAGTTCGCCTCAGAGAAGGGAGCTCTCTCCCGTCTCAGCAAGGGGGTAGCGAGGGTGACTGCTGCTGCTGCCGCCGCCGTTTGCGAGGTCCCCGATTCGTGCTGTGGGCGGTGTTGGCGAGGGGGTTGTTCCCTGATCTCGGGAAGGGATCCCCGTGGCTCCGGGGGTCTGGCCGCTGTTGGGGTCCCGGGCTCGCTGGGGGCCTCTCGGCGACTACGCCCGCGGGAAAATGGCGCTGAGCGCTGGCGCGTGGGTGACGGAGAGGTGGGGGGTGGGGCAGCAGCTGGCGTGACGTCACTTCCCGTGTGACGAATGGCACCGCCCATTACCTAAGGGGGAGGGGGGGATAAAGGGCGGTGGTGGGGGCGTGTGTGTGTGTGCGTGAACGTGAGCGCGCGTGTGTGCGTGTGTGTGCGTGCGTGCGTGAGTGAGCGTGAGTGTGTGTGTGTGTGCGTGCGTGTGTGCGTGAGTGAGCGTGTGTGTGTGCGTGTGTGTGTGCGTGTGTGCGTGAACGTGAGGGCGTGTGTGGGTGTGCGTGCGTGAGTGAGCGTGTGTGTGTGCGTGCGTGCGTGAGCGTGTGTGCGTGAACGTGAGCGCGTGTGTGTGCGTGTGTGTGTGCGTGCGTGCGTGTGCGTGTGTGCGTGAACGTGAGGGCGTGTGTGTGCGTGTGTGTGTGCGTGCGTGAGTGAGCGTGTGTGTGTGCGTGCGTACGTGAGCGTGTGTGCGTGCGTGTGTGCGTGCATGTGTGCGTGTGTGTGCGTGAGTGAGCGTGAGCGTGTGTGCGTGCGTGTGTGCGTGAGTGAACGTGAGCGCGTGTGTGTGCGTGTGTGTGTGCGTGTGTGTGTGAGTGAGCGTGAGCGCGTGCGTGGGTGAGTGGGTGAGTGGGCGAGTGGGTGGGTGAGTAGGTGGGTGAGTGAGTGGGTGGGTGAGTGAGTGGGTGATTGAGTGGGTACGTGAGCGAGTGAGTGGGTGGGTGAGTGGGTGGGTGGATGAGTGGGTAAGTGAGTGGGTAAGTGAGTGGGTGGGTGGCTGGGTCAGTGAGTGGGTGAGTGAGTGGGTGAGTGGGGGGACTCAACACTGCCTATAGACTCAACACTGCCACCTATAGACTCAACACTGCTACCCATAGACTCAACACTGCCCATAGACTCAACACTGCACCATAGACTCAACACTGCCCATAGACTCAACACTGCACCATAGACTCAACACTACCCATAGACTCAGCACTGCCTATAGACTCAACACTGCCCATAAACTCAGCACTGCCCATATACTCAACACGGCCCATAGACTAACACTGCCCAATTGCTCAACACTGCCCACCTCTCTCTCCCCGTGTCTCTTTCAATCCATGTCTCTCTCTACCCGTGTCTCTCTCTACCCGTGTCTCTCTCTACCCGTGTCTCTCTCTACCCGTGTCTCTCTCTACCCGTGTCTCTCTCTACCCGTGTCTCTCTCTACCCGTGTCTCTCTCTCCCCGTGTCTCTCTCTCACCGTGTCCCACCACCCCGTGTCTCCTCCAGCTCGTGCCGCTGTCTCTCCGCCCCCTGCTCTCTCGCTGTCCGACCGCGCCGATGTCTGCCGGGCGCTGTCTGCCCAGGGCTGTCCACTCTTGGCCATGCTGTCTCCGTGTGCCTGATAAGCGATGATCGTGTCGGCAGGCAAGCCCAGCCTGCGCTTGTACACACGCCTAGATAGACAGAGACACACAGTGAGTGAGACACAGACAGTGAGAGACAGAGACACAGACAGAGACAGACAAAGAGAGAGACACAGACAGAGAGACGCAGACAGACACCGTCAGAAAGACACGGAGACAAAGACACGGTCAGAGAGACACGGCGAGAGAGATGAGACAAAGACACAGCCAGCATCGTCATTAGCATGGGTGGGTGAGTAGGTGGGTGAGTGAGTGGGTGAGTGAGTAGATGGGTAGTCGGTGAGTGAGTAGCTGTTGGGTGAGTTGCTGTGTGAGTAGGTGAGTGAGTAGGTGAGTGAGTGGCTGAGTGGGTGGCTGAGTAGGTGATTGAGTGGCTGAGTGAGTAGGAAACTGAGTGGGAGAGTGAATGTGAGAGAGTAGATGAATGAGTGGCTGGGTGAGTGAGTGACTGAGCGAGTGGGTGAGTGATCGAGCGAGTGGTTGAGTGAGTGAGCGAGTGGTTGAGTGAGCGAGCGAGTGGGTGAGTGAGCGAGCGAGCAAGTAGGTGAGTGAATGGCTGAGTGAGTGGCTGAGTGAGCAATTGGGTGAGCGAGTGGGTGAGTGAATGAGTGGCTGAGTTGGTATATGAGTATGTGAGTGGGTGGGTGAGTATATGGGTTAGTTGGTGAGTGAGTAGGTGATTGAGTGGGTGAGTAGATGAGTGGGTGTAGGTGAGTGAGTGGGCGAGTGAGTAGGTGGGTGGTCGGTGAGTGAGTAGGTGGCTGAGTAGGTGGGTGAGTAGTGGGTGATTAGGTGACTAGGTGGGTGAGTAGGTGAGTGAGTAGGTGAGTTGGTGAGTATGTGAGTTGGTATGTGAGTTGGATGTGTCAGTAGGTGAGAGTCTCGCTCACCCGATGGTAATGACGGCCTCACTGCTGTCAGCGTTGGAGGTCCACAGGGCGATGCGGTCTCCCTTGTGTTCTCTGGTGTGTTACAAAATTATATGACTCTGAAAAGGCCTTCCTGCACAGAGTGCACTTGAAGGGTTTCTCTCCTGTGTCCTCTGGTGTTTTTGAAGATGTGGTGACTGTGCAAACTCTGTGTGTACACTGTGTGTCCACTCTGTGTGTGTACACTGTGTATACACTGTGTGTATACACTGTGTGTGCGTACACTGTGTTTGTGTGTATACACTGTGTGTGTGTACACTGTGTGTGTGTACACTGTGTGTATACACTGTGTGTATACTGTGTGTGTACACTGTTTGTATACACTGTGTGTGTACACTGTGTCCACTCTGTGTGTGTATACTGTGTGTGTGTACACTGTGTGTCCACTCTGTGTGTACACTGTGTGTGTACACTGTGTGTGTGTACACTGTTTGTATACACTGTGTGTGTACACTGTGTCCACTCTGTGTGTGTATACTGTGTGTGTGTACACTGTTTGTATATACTGTGTGTGTGTACACTGTGTCCACTCTGTGTGTGTACACTGTGCATACACTGTGTATACAGTGTGTGTGTGTACACTGTGTGTGTACACTGTGTATACTGTGTGTGTACACAATGTGTGTGTGTACACTGTGTGTGTGTAGTAGGGGGCACAGGTGGTGCATTGGTCAGTCATCTCAGTCAGTCGACCCATGGCATCTTTTCATCAATTTATTTTAAATTTATTATTTTTAATTATTTGTATTATTAAATTTTTAATTTATTATTTTTATCTTTTATTTTTTGTTTTCTATCTACGTGACTTTACCGAAAGAACCAGGAACATGGTAGCGCATTCTCTATTTGTTGCAGAGGTTCAAGGTTCAAATCCGACAGGCATATCTGGCTACCCCAGTAACATTCACCACAACATGCGCAGTCTGCTTAACAGCGGATGTCAAACAAACCACTGTCACTTACAACGCACATTGCATGTTGGTGTCACGGTCAAAATTGTGGCAATTCCAGTAACACTATCCAGAAACTCCACAAGGGAGATGACGCGTCAATGATCGCCCCTTACCGACAGACTCATGTCCACGTGCAGACCGGTGCAGGGCCACCTTGTGCCACACAGGGGCAGCTGCCACTAGGGGGCGACCTTCCATTGTTTGAGATGAGGTTCGATACGAAACACCGAGTTGCTGAGGCAATAAGGCAAGCGATTTATGATACCAGCCGCTCCTCCTGGGCAGGTTCGGTTACGTACGGTGCGAAATAAGTTCCAGATACACACACAGAGACTCACACAGATACACACACACAGAGACTCACACAGATACACACACAGAGACTCACACAGAGACTCACACAGATACACACACAGATACACACACAGAGACTCACACAGATACACACACAGATACACACACAGAGACTCACACAGATACACACACAGACACAGATACACACACAGAGACTCACACAGATACACACACAGAGACTCACACAGAGACTCACACAGATACACACACAGACACAGATACACACACTCACACAGATACACACACAGAGACTCACACAGATACACACACAGAGACTCACACAGAGACCCATAGATTAACAGGGTTGGCTAGGTATGGTGCGAAATAAGTTATATACAGAGACCCATGGATTAACACGGTTGGCTAGGTATGGTGCGAAAGAAGTTATATACACACAGAGACCCATGGATTAACACGGTTGGCTAGGTATGGTGCGAAAGTTACAGATAAACAAGTTTGAGTCGCGGGCCGTGGAAGTTGACCGGGCGCGTGTTGCTACTGACAGTCGTTGAATACGGTTGGATAGACGCTGATAGAGAGACACACACACAGACAAGACAGGCGGACAGACACAGACAAGAGGAACACAGAGACGACAGAGAGACACAGGCAGAAAGAAACACAGAGGCAAACAGATGACACAGACGGACAGAGAGATGTTGAATCGAACACACTGAACTTGCTCCATTGAAAGAGATTCCTCCATCTTCGCAATGCCCGGAAGTCGTTCTTATTTTTATTGATTTAATTGCGTGTGGTGTGTATGTGCAAGCAATGTGGGATATCGATGTACACAGATATGAACAAGATCAGCAGATAAGACGTCTTTAATTTAATCGGTCTCTCCACTAAACAAAGGAATGTTGAACACGAAATATAAATCCCACGGCCTTCCTGCGAGTCCATAATTACTGCAGCATTGCTTCAGTGCAAGCCAACTGTGGACCGGTTTTGGTGGACACTGTCTGTGTGTACACTATGTGTGTGTACACTGTGTGTGTGTACACTGTGTGTGTGTGTACACTGTGTGTGTGTACACTGTGTGTGTGT